CATCCGTTGGCGTGGTTTTCCAGCCTTTGTGGTCTGTGGATGCATTGCCACAGAAACACCAAGGCTAGGTTGATTCCTCACATCTGTTGAGGGCATTGCAGTAGCCATGCTTGGGCCGGCGCTGCTTTCGCCACCGGTAACCAAGAGAGACTGGAACCTATTTTTCGAACGTGAGCCTCTGCCTAACCCACGAACGCGGACCTTGTTAACTCGGGCGACGTCCGAGCCAGTATCATACTTAGATCTGGTTACTACCATCATAAATTTCTCTACAGAATGTGGGTATGTGATCACTCTTAGCTTCATTTCTCCCCATAGACCTTACTGGCATGGGTGTCCCTACCAGGAGCTTGTGCTCCAGCTTGCATTGCCCTATAAATCAGTAAAATTACTGGGCTCTCCCACCACGACCAGGTGGTGACCACGGGAGAGTTATTATTATTATTATTATTTAGATTTATTTAATTTTTATTCAAAAATTAAGTTTATTTTAATTTCGTAATATATTAAAATCTGCAAACGAAGTAGCACCACATTCTAAAAACGCTTGTTTTACAAACTCTCTTTCTAAAAGAGGTTTTCCGTGGCGAGCAATGCAATGGGCAACATGAAAGCTAGCAGATATATAGCAGATTTTATTTTTTAAAATCAAAAAAGGTTTTAAAACACTGGATTCTCTTTTTTCTTTTGTAAAAAATACGTTCTTCTTTCCTCATCTGTTGAAAAACCGAGATTAGAATGCAACTTTTCAAAATGTCTTTTTACATTGTATATACGTGAAGTGACTTTTTCGTTACAAATTACACACAAAGTCGTTTTATTCTTTTCAATCACACCATTTTATCAAACAAATTTGTTTGATATGATCTGGAACTTGTATCGTTTGTTTGTATTTTTTAACTGCCAACATAGTACAGGGCTACAAATAAAAGTATTTATATTTAGAATGCAATAATTTGAAAAGAAATTTCTTGTTAACGTACTTGATATACATACATATGTAGATGAGAAACTTTAATAATGAAAAAATAAGTAGGCAAGGCCGTATTTCGGACAAATTGCAACTCCTGACATCTACTTTTTCATACATCTAAGATTTTACAAATACGTGAGCCGTTCACAGCCAGGCACAGATACTTGTAAAATTTAACTGACTCGTACAACATGGAATTCATATAAAACGAAACTATCAACAGTGTTATAGGGTGGTCAACTGTAAAATGCAATAAACAGCAAACAATAGTATTATTATAAACCAGATTTAATAACAATAATCATAATACATTTGATTCTCATCATTTTTATCTATAAAAATATAATTTACAATTTACGAGTAAAGTTCAATAATAGGTAGAATTATTTCGATGCAGTTTCTAAATGCACTCGTCTAGATTATATGATGTAGGCCTATGTTTATATATATTTGTAATAAAAATTACCCCAACCTTTAGATTATTTCATATCTTACAACATTCATCTTTTTTCTACACACATTCTTATACCTGATATTGGAGTCAAAAGAACTTCCGCAGAAGTAACGATCTTATCTTGAGGATCCAAAGAGTAAACTTTAAAATTACGAAGAACATTTGCTAAAACCATTTTCATTTTAACTATGCCGAGTTTATTTCCTGTAAAAAAAATTATTTTAATAAAATAATTTTTTATTTGTTTATGTATTTATTCAGTAATCACTTACCGAGACAATTTCGTGGACCTGCAGAAAATGCCAGAAATGCATAAGGATGAAGATTTTTATAGTTTTCATGTAAAAAACGGTCTGGATTAAACACTTCGGGATTTTCGTAAACAGAAGGATTATGATGAATATTACAGATACTTATGACAAGAGTCGAATTTGCAGGCAACACGTAATTACCTGTTTGAATGACAACGATTTAATGCTTCGAGTCAATAATGAATATAAAGTATTATTATAGAAAAATAAATTTCAAGTTATCAAAAATTACCTATTTTCATTTCCGAAAGATTTTTTCTTGAAATTAAAGGAAAAGGAGGATAGATTCTCATCGACTCCTGAAAATTGTAATGTATAAAACTAATCCTTGAATGTATTAAAGAAATTAAAAAGTTACCTTAATTACGCATTCTAAGTACGTCATTTTCGTCAGGTCTTCGATAGTAATATCCCTATTCATATCATCTTTGAAAATTTCTTGCAATTCCACATACACTTTCTCTTGTATTTCGTGGAATCTTCCCAGGAAATAAAGAGTCCATGACATAGCGTGGGCGGTTGTATCGTAACCCTGATATTAAAATACGTTGAAAAGACATGTGAAATTGCTTTCTATATAATTGACATTTGCAGTAAAATAAATACTGTATAATAAACTTGTAAAATTGAAATATGGAAGGCATGAATATCGCGCTTCTTTCATATTAATGTCATACCAGTTTATAATTGTTCCTTGCATCAAGCAGTTAACATAGTTCTTCGTACTATTTATATCAAAATACCAATGATCTGATTTCGAGAGTTTACTGTTTCCTCCAATAAGAAAATAGTCCAGAAACTTTTAAATGGCGACAATTGTATCCGGCGTAAGTTTCGGTGATAAAATGAAAGAGAGGAAAAATGACGTCATTTCACTTTTTCCCAAATACAAGCATTTATGGATGAAGTCGAAAATAAATAACATTAATACAAAGGAGGATGGTTCCAACTGTATCTTCTCGCGTAAAACGTAATTATTGAAAATTAGACTTAATTTTAAAAAAGTGAAGTGTTAGTAATGTATTGTACAGTACATAGCAGCAGAGATGAAAATTCGACATAAATGGAGAGAGATTACAAAAAAATAGTTATTAGAATTTCTAAATAATCATTATAACAATTCTGTTTATAATTATAACACGGTTAACAGAATAAAATGCCATACATGCACTCTTTTAAAAACAAAGTTTCAGCTAATCAATGACACTAAAAATTCTTTTCTCAACATTCAATATTATCAGATTAATTCTATGAACAAAATGTCTTCGATCGTTGAACGAAATGAAGATTAAATTGTCCACAAACTATGTAATTAGTCGAACGAAACAGCTAAATACACATCGTCCAGCTTGAATTGTCTTGACTTACGACAAACCATTACATGTCGTAATATAACGACATATTAATATATTTACGACGTTTTCGGTCATTCGGTTATTATGGACTTGAATATTTCGGATTACAAAATATTTCGATCATCATCTCAGACTTTACTTGCTTTGAATACTTTCAATCGTGTTTATGAAAGGAATTTAATTAATTAATACTCGAAAAAATACTTTGATAACAGATAATAACTTACAGAACTGAGTTACAAGTGTAGAAACTATCATTTTTCACCCGAATATCCCGCTGTAATTATACATAATAATAATGTTTAAAAATCAGTAGATA